TCGAGAATGGTCTGTAACTGACGAGTCCCCTGGGTGCTTCTACATGTCAGCTTTATTGGCAGCTCTTCTCACACCTCTGTTTTATCCCTCGTCCAAATCAGTAACCTTTGCAAAATGGCTTTGCTCTCTATTATGGAGTGTCACTCACCTCAAAATCCAGCAGCGCGTCAATCTGGCTCTGCAGGGTGGGCATTCCTTTCAACAGCTTCTCTACTGACATGGTCCTCATCGCTCCCTCAGCTCTGACACAGAGGATGATATAGAAACAGTAAGAGTCATGTAGCAACTCCTAGACATACAGATTGTTGCCTACATGCAGTCTGTTTACTGAAGAATACCTGTCTGTACCTGACACACATATATCATTCACCCATGTGTCTGATCTCTATTCTGAAGTCTGCAGTTTACTTTGTGTCAGCTAGCTAAACAAAGCCGTCCAGCCTGTGAGTATGAGTAATAACACATTCTGTATTCATCCCTGCACTCTGTACACCCAGTAAAGACATGCACTCTGCCAACGCCTGGCTGGAGGTAGCTGAGTCTACAGAGGGGGTTGAGTTCCATAATGTTGCTGAAATAGTCATACAGCAAGGCACAGTCGTGAGGAAAAACAGTACCCCTTCTTGACTCGGACAAAGTCAAAAGACATCTGTCTGTAGGCGAAGGACTTCTCGTTCAGATAGCGGCTGTAGCGTCTGATGAACGTGGACATGTCGTAGCCTGAGGAAGACACAGAACATAAGCACATGTTCAGTCTCAAATGCCAGCAGAGGTAAGGGTATTAGTAGGCCTTTGAAAGGGTCATAAATCAAGCAAAGCATGTCAAGCATGTCTTCATAACCTCAGTAATAATGGTGAGTACTGTTTGCATCTTATACATGTAATATGTGATGTGTAGGTTATAAACTGTCTTAGGTGGTCTCATCTTATTCTTTAAAAATAAAGCTTCATTTTGTTCTTTTCTACTGTCCAAGTGATTATTCATTTTGATGAGGAGATTAAAACCACTCCTCGTCTGAGCACAGAGTCTAAACCAGGAACTATTAGCTTAATACTGATGGGATTCTGTCTTTTGTCAGTGTGTGAGATCCATTGGCTCAGTATTAAAATTAAAATGTCTCTTTGGCTTTGAAAACATCAACCACGATCACACGCTGACACGCCGACACAAACACTTGAAGGAATCTTGATGTTCATGTGTTACTTTAATGACAGCTGTCCTTTTCTATCGGAAAGGTATCCTTAAATGACTTTTTCCCTGATTTCCGACTCTATCCACTATCCTATTTCTACAATAAAGGCACAAAAGCCCAAAAAATAAATCTTTTATTTTTTTTTTTTTTTTACTTGACCTTCAAGGGGCATTAGGGGGGACGGGCCGCCCCCTAATATGATGGTAGGGGAAACACTGCACATGGCACATTATTTTGAAATACGTTTTGTATGTCAAACTCTGCCTTTTCTTTATTTGTGTTTATAATTCACGTCATACAAACATCCTCTTATTCCGTCTTGTAATTATGTACAAAATTAGGTAAAGAAAAACATTGTCAGAGAGGAGCTGACTCTTAGAGATGACATGTTCACTGACACACCGCTACAGCTCAGCATGAAGACTAGTTCAGGTGGGAAACAGCACATCAAAGATTAAGGAAAACATACATAGACTTTAATATACAGAATGTGTCTGTTAACTTCATCCCAGTCTGGTCAACCCTTGAAGACAAAATGTCCATTAAAAACAGACTATGAACCCAGTGTTTATCACCATGGGAGATTGCACCTATCTCCATGGAGATGGGTTTAATTGAGGGGAGCACGGAATAGAAAAGCTTAGACTGAAGAATGGATAGAAAAACATTGTTGTAGTAAAGTATAGACTTCTTTCTGTTGCACTTCTTGTGTTTGTCTAAAATCAAGTTATTCTGTCCTCAGTTCATCTGTTTAAGGGGGAATGATATGGGTATCATAACATTCCCCTTAAGTGAGTAAAACCCAGAATGTAGAACTTAGGGTTAAAGAAAGATGGAGGGACAATCAGGAAGGAAAGAAACAAAAACCCACCATGGGATCCAGTTTTGTCCAGGAAGTTGGCAAGGTTGAACAATGTGTTTCGAGATGCCAGCAACTGAATAAATTTCTGAAGGAGAAAAAAGAAGTTTAGTTCTACTTCAAGCACAAAATGTCACACATGAGAAACAGCCTCTCATTTTTTTTCTGAAAGAAGTAGCTGAAGTTAGCACTGATTACCAAAAATGTACACGTTTAGGGTTACTTACTATAAACAACTAGTAATCATATTTATTGCAGAATAGAATGAACGATACATATCAGGAAGACTAAATCTATATATAATTTGAGAAACACCAACTTTAAACACCACAGTTATGAACTAAACTGTATATTCCAGCAGTGATGGTTTAGGATTTTTTAAACAGATGGCTCAATTTAAAAATAGGAAACAACCCAGCTTTTTGAAGTTCACAGCTTTCTCAAAGAGACCGTTCACCAAACCTGTGAAGCTGCCTGCAACTGAGGGTGGAGGTGTTATTCTTGACTAGAGTTATTTTTTATGTAGCATTGAGCGAGCACTGAAGCAGCAGTCGTGAGTGGAAGGGCGTTAATATTAATAAGACGCAGGGAGAGGACCAGGAAACAAAGCATGGTCAAGACATGAGGCTCCCTCTGCAGAGGATGAGCTTACTCCAGTGACACACATGGAGATGAAAACAACACACACACACACACACACACACACACACACACACACACACACACACACACCACACACACACACACACACACACACACACCACTGCTGATGCTTATTCAGTGGCTTCATTTACACAACGGGGAGCACAATAACATGAAGGGAGGTTCAGAATGAAAACACCTCCTGGAGAATTTGTGAGCTACACATTACCTCCCCTCCTCCTTTCATCCCCTCCCCTCCTCTCTCTCTCTCTCTCTCTCTCTCTCAAAGATGGCTAAAAATAAACCAGAACCAAGATGCATATTGTAAACACACAGTGTTTTGCCTTGTCAAACATGATTTCATGACTCAAAAACATTTAGGACACGCAAACCAGAGCACAAACATTTGGGGAGGGGAGGGGGTGCTCCCTTTGTTTCATTGCACTGTCTCTTTCCTTATTTGACATCACTTTATCAATATATCACTGTTTCCTTTGAGTAATCTGCAGTTCTGTGGCAGCTTGTGCACTTGATGGGCTGTAAAGCTGCATCTGTCTATCTCTTTGCTTTCTCCCTTGTTGCCCTGTCATGGCCTTTATCTTTCTACAGCTGTCAGGACATGAACGGGGTCAGGGGGGTGAAGACAGGACAACAAAGGGTCAGTCCCTTTGCTCATCCAGGGACTGCTGATAACATCTATGGAATAAATGTACAAACTCAGAGTGTATGGTGTAGAAAGAAAGAAAAAGAGTCAGAAGGTTAAATAATATACAAGGACAATCCATTGCTATTATCTCTCCGACTAACTTTACATATACTTTATTGTACCTTCATATGGACTTTATCTGTCCAAAAACAATATTTAAAATAACTGCAGCAGTCTGTAAAATCGAAGGCAATTTCAGACTTAGGTGATAATTATTTTTCTGTTCATCACCAGATGCATTGTCTGGGACATTACACATTGGGCCAGATCCACAAAAGGGGTTGCGCTACTTTTGCGGGTGCTAGACCTGTGCAAATGAAAGATAACGTGGAATCCACACAGCATGCACAAAGGGTGAAATGTGCACAAACTGCACACAAACTACACACATACTACACTGCCAAGCAGATAGCGTCCAGGGTGTGCCTGTTTCATTTGCAGCTATGTAAATAAGGGAAAATTAAAAAATGTGGTGTTCCTAAGCAAATGAGCCGTGTTGCAAATACCATCTACACACAGTAGACTAGCGCTAATTGCATCAGGCCATTACATCAGTGCTATTTCACGCCATTGACACATTAAATCAGTATTAAATCGGTGCAATTTCTCCTTCAATCTATTTTCTGCTTACACAGATAAATGCAAAAGGAGGGCACATTGCACTTAGCTAGTGGTCACTGAGGCACTGAATTTATAATGTATGTCACACACAAACTCTCAAGTGATCAGGAAAGCAATTCCCACCTCTGTATGACTTGAAAAATAAATGTTCTGGTAAAGTTTGGAGATGTTACTTTGGCATTATTATTATTATTATTATTATTATTATTAATAATATAATCAGGGCTTGAATCAGCCACCACCACCACCTGTGTTGTCGTTGCTCGTCCCATCCAGAGAGAAAGCTTTGTGACAGAAATTTAACATTTTCAAGTCTGGCATCAAAATAAATCCTGTAAACATGAAGGTGGAAAACAAGAGCAGACTTTAGAAAAGCAGGACCACCCTGTGGGCGTGTTAGCATCAGCATATCATTAGTGCAAAGACTTTTTATAGATAGGGTGTTTAAACAGGGCAGATTGCGGGTGCTATTAATGGGTGCAATCCATTCTTAGGGGCCCATTGTGTTTGAACCCATTGTTAATTAGTGCCAATCTAAAGCTATTGGCAATATTACCTAAATCCAAACCCTTGAACTGAACTTGTTGTGTATCAGCACTATGGATGCACTCTTAGGATGTGACCTTTATGATTTACAGTTGACACCCCATTGACAGGAAAATTCAAGATTTGTAAAACATTTCTTTCTTCAGAGATCAAATATATTTTGACATTATGTAAGCAGGCTCCTTCATCAAGGTGGTCAGCAGGTTTGCTATCTGATTAGTATTTAAAGCATCCAGTTTAAAACATCAACGTATAATGACAGTAAAGCAGCCTGATATCAGACCTGGTATTTTCCTTTAATGCATTTGTATTTTAATCAACAGTCACTTGTGACCATTACGTCCTTTATAACTATGTCCCAGCCCTCTGTATCTGTAGTTAAAAACATCTCTTAAATACATCTTTAAGAATCCCTGATGCTCGGATCCCTTTTTATTTATGTCATGTTTATTTGTATAAGGACAGGAATAGATGAATGCCCATCCTTAGATGGACTTTTAAAATACATCCACTAAACAACAAATAGAAAAAAAACATTAAAACAGAACCATACAGGATACAAGATATGCCTCTATAGAAAAAGAAAAGCTTTTGTTCAGAGTGAACAACAGAAATCTTGCCTTTTCGGAAACTTGACCAAATTTCAGTCCAACATATTTGGTGTTATTTGAAACTCTGGAAACTTCCCCAAAAACATTTAAAAAAAAAAAAAATATTATTAATGAAGTTATCTCTATCCTTTGACCCACATAACACAGCTGAATAGATATCACGTTTTCAGTTTCTTATTACATGAACACTGTAGAAGCCAGTCTGTGCGCTACTGCAGCTTATTTTTTAAACGGGTATTTGTGACCTTCTTTCTTTTGCAGAACGTAGACAGAAAAAATACAGATATACAAGAAATACAGTTCTGCCCTGTTTCATTTTGACTTCCTGGTAGAACCATTTCCAGTGGAACCATCTTCTCCTAGCTTTACTTAAGGGATGCAACAACACTTTGGTGGCAATTTGATCATCTGGAGGTTCACTGTGCTCAAGTGGAGACAAATGATTTTCTACTTCCCCTTGCTGCTTTTACCAGACATCCAAATCAAAAACATTCAAGTATTTTCACGTGTGTAAAGATTATTTCAAAACATCACCTCATTGCCATGCACCATGAGATGGTGTGTAGTGATCAGGGCTTTGAAGACCACCACCCAGCTGGCATTTCCAGCCCTCTCCATTAGCGTGTCGACCATCTGGGGGACATTCACAGTGGTCTCCTGGCTGGCCTGGATCAGGTCTGAGAAACAACAAGGAGGTCAGATGATGTTTAATATTAGGGGAGAGATTCAGCTCTGATGAAGCGGGTACTGAACACCTTGAGTTTGAATAACACAACACAAACCACTGCACAGAATTTAAAAGAAGGAGACAGATGGGTGAGAAATGACAAACAGGGGTGTGCGTTGCATTTCACAGCTGCACTCTCTCGAATCCTAATACTCGGTTTAATTGTTTCCCTCGAATAGTGCGTCCTCACATATGCAAATGAAATGACATAGTTTGAAGTATTCTGAGTCAATCAACCTATTTTCAAGCTATTGCAAGGTAGTGATTGAATTTCAGTCTCATCAAAAGATACTCCCTTTAAGTAATAAAATAAGTGTACATAATTAAACACGTTATTTTAAATGCAAATTTCCTGAGAGCTGATTTCAGCACAGGGACAGATGGTAAGTGTGAGGGTTAGACCTGTGGTGTTGGTTGGGTCCAGTCAATCAGAAGCCTGTTAAATAAGTAGCAAATTTATTTGTGCAAGCCAGAGAAGCTAATGTAAACAGAAGTGCATCTGGTAGGATACTGCTGTTTCTCCATCTCTCCTGAAATGAATGTAGATGAGTGCTTCACATTATGCCTGCATTGCCTGATATGAGTCACAGCTTTGTTCGTTTCTGCAGCCAGTCGTTACGAGCGCACGAGAACCATAGCAGAGGGAGAGAGCAGATCTAAAAAGGAAAACAGAGCTGCCACTTTGTTCATACTGAGTTGTAGTGACAAAAACATATCATGATTATCATACCACAGTTATCTTTAATTATTAACATAATAAAACTATTCTATGAGCAAACATGTAACATCTTCAAATATATCATCTAGACCAGGGGCTCCCAAACTTTGCAAAGGACCCCGTTAGAGAATAGCATTAACATTTGGCCCTCTGGCTAAGACCCTCCTCTTGCAGCATTTCTTAAATTCTTTGTACATTGTACAATACATACAACTAATAAATATGTTTCATTAATTTAAAAACAAAAACCAAGTTGCATTGGGAAAATACAATTAGTAGAATATAATCGGGGCTTTTTTTAAGGAACAACTGAAATAACTACCATGTGCTAATTGCTACGTATCAATAGGCTTGTTTACATTTGTGGCTCATAATGTTATAATAAGTCAAATTTACAGTTTTTCTGAACTCCCCGCAACAAATAAATGAGGCAACGCCTGCGAGCTAGTCCAGGCAGAATACTCCAGATGCACTGATTTCACACTCGACCTGCGTCATTATCCATTATCACCTGTCAAACACCACCTTAGCGGTCTATTTAAACTACAAGATTTCCAGTCTGTCCATCTGCTCTTTCATCGCCAGCTTTGACCTGCACCAGTACTGTACTCTTCATCAGCCCCAGCACCATCCCCAGCATCCACCTGTAGGCTCTGACTGGTGGTTAAAGATGTCATCCCATTACTCCTCAAATTTCTGCATGTGAAATTTCTGCACTGCGAGGAGTGATGAGGTCGGAGCCTTGACGCCAAACACAAACTGTGTTCTGCTGCTGCGATAAATATTTGAAACGAATACAAACGTGAGTTGTCTGACTGAAATACATTTATTCAGGCTCCCCTTTTAGAGTGCACAGACATCTGAAAACAGCTCATTTCCATTAACCCCCACTAAACTGGAACACTAACATCTACATTTTAATAATTTTAACAGGACACTGACAAACCAATACTGTAGAATACCTTACTAGTGAGACCAATATGTAGTTGAGTTTACTTTCTTCTCTTTATCAGTGTCTGACAGATTAAAGGATATCCCCAAGTCAAGAATATCTATTCAGTGTCAAATAGGAGAGCTGCCCATGGTACACCTCAGGGCATATCTTCAGACACTGTGTGAGGAATGAGATAAGTGGATGTGTAGGCAGAGTGATGGACAGGTAGGGAGAGAAAACATGATGCCATCATTTTCAAAGCATTGATTCAGCAGAGCAGGGCCGATGCAGATCAGTTAGAGTCCTGTGACTCATTATTAGTGTCATATCTGTTCCTGCACATTTACTGCCAGATAATAAGGAGGCATATTGTCCTTGATTGACCTTTCCTTCCTGACTCAATACAGACTAAATGTCACACAGGACAAATTCTATCAATGAACCATGGAACAATAAGCAAAACGTAATGAAACTGTTTTAACCATAAAAGAGAAATAATACAAGATGACTCTTTCTTAGAGCTTTTGGTAATTCCACTTTATAATGTTGGATAAAATGAACATGTCAATTCATTTGCACCTTACTTTTTTTCATAAAAAAGGGTAGCAACAACAATTTGCAGTTTTAGTCAAGTGCTTGACCAAGAGCAGTTATTTCCAGGAGTCTTTTGTTGACACCCTTAAGTAACAAGCAAAGACTCATTATACCCCTTCATACACTGTCCTTGAGCTGTATCATCTGTCCATGGAACACAACTCAACATCTGAATATATCTATCTACCTACATTTACAGACTTTGCTAAAATATTACTATATTATAATATTAGGATGCATTTCATTCTTCAAACTGTTGTTTAAAAGCCAGCATGCCCAACCTGCATCAAAGATGACATGCACAGGGGTGCGAGGGCCTGTTCAGTGCTGCTTGGAGCCCTAGTTTTACTTGTATCACAGTGGGCTGCTGGAGCCCCAGAGCAGCAGCAGGTTGTCCTCTTATTTGAATAACAAATGTTTGATCCCAGGCTCCTGTACTCTGCATGTCTAAGTACTAAGACAGTGAACCTCAAACTGCTCCTGAAGGTAAAACCCAGAGAAAGAAAGCGTGGGTGGATGAGTAAGTGCAGTCAACTGGGCTCTATGTATAATTCTGATAGATTCAATCAAAATTAAGTATCTTTATGGAAGCATGTGAGTGAATTTTAAAAAACTAAAGCAAAATAATAGAATTGTATTGTCCCTCTGCTCTGCATTGTGATTCCTTCAAACACTACGATACTACTTGAAGCAGTTTCCTGTGGCACTTTCTCTGCCTTAGTGATGACACATTATTATATCTAAAGCAAGTTTTCATGAATGAGTCAAATGAAGTTCACAGTGGGAGTAGCTTTAAAGGTGAATGCATGAATAATCATGTGAAAATGCTTTCAAGGTCATTTTGCCTTCATGGTTATGCTACTGGTCAGCTCGCACTTCAGCTTCCTCCATCATGCTTTCATCATGCAGTAATGAAAGCTGTACACGTCCTCTTCAGTAGTAAGACAGCAGATACACAGATAGAGAGAAGGATAATCCCTGCAGGGCTGATGAGTCAGTATCCTGCATCATCCTACGCTTTTCATCGCTCTGTCTCCTGTCTGTCGCTCTGTCTGTCTCACTCTCTGCCCAGCTAACATCCCACAGGGAGGGTCAGAGTCGGACTGTCAGACAAACCAATTACCATGTGTTGAAAAGAGTGCAGCAAGGAACAGATGTACAGAGATGATATTATGAGAGTATATGAGAGTATATTATGTTGCCTGGTAACCAAATTCTAATCAAAATATATCTGAGACACGGACAGGGAAAGTCTCTGTTAGGATTGAATGCTCAACAACAATTCAGCAGGTGACAGAAGGTTTTTAATGTCTTTCATCTCATTGAGTTTTGATTTATCACCTGCAAACGTCACTGTTTAAGGCTCATTGCTCACATCAAAATCATCTCTAACAGCAGGCTCTAAAACTCACTTTACACTCCATGCCCATCATGATAGACTTTAGATTCAAACTGGTGAACATACTGCAGCAATTAGTAACAACCTTTAAATCCCATGTCTCCTTCTGTTGAGTTAAATAACTGAAATGTTTTCTTTCCTAGGTAGGCAAGAGATACTGCACCCAATGAATACTCATGTAGCTCTCTGTCTGAAGGATGTGTTAATAAGCAACTGCTTGTGAAAAGTTACACATATCAACTTTTTAAGGTAACAATAGATCACTTTATTGATGTATTTAACCACATGATGCCAGCCTAACTATGATGAACGCCGGATGGTAGACAGGCAGGGGGCTCGCCATGCAGAAGTGATGAACCACTGACAGATCCTGCATAGAGACACTATCCAGATGTTAGCCATCAGCTGGTGATCACTAATAACTTACAGGTTCACACACAGAACTACTGATCCTGGAGAACCCAAGCTACAAATACAATGCTGCTTGCATTCAAAGAGATAAAGCTGAACCCCCTGCTGGTACTCTATGAAAGTAAGTAATGAACCAATCTGCTTTAGTACTGGTTTCTGTAAAACCAAAAAGCTGAGTTTTAGACATACAATGGTTAAAAAGGAGCTTTAAAACACGTTTAATGGCAGACAAGATGTACATTCAAAAACATAAAGACTGTTGTAATGAAACAAAATCTATTCTGGTTTAGAATATTGTAGCTTAACATTCAGCTAATAACCCCCTGTGCTGTGGTCTGGGTATAAAATGTCAGTCCCTCGGTGCTGACCTGCAGATCATGTCCTTCATTAAAAGCCGGAGGAATTTTAACAGTGAGACAAGGTTATTTGTAATATGGGGAAAACTGGAGCCACTATACCATTCTAGACATTCATTATATTATGGTTGTCATAGTAACATGTACTGTATATACACATGCCTTAACATCTCTCCTGTCCTGCTCTGCTCTTTTACAGCCACAGCACCTGAGCTGTCAGTGTGCAGAGAGAAGAAGGATTACTCCGACAAGTTCACATCCTCTTTTGCTTGTGTGTGTGTGGTGTGTGTGTGTGTGTGTGTGTGTGTGTGTGTGTGTGTGTGTGTGTGTGTGTGTGTGTGTGTATGATGTATGGCTGGTAAACAAACGTACATGACAAAACTTGTCGCACACTAACACAAACAGACGTTCACATCTCAGTTTAAAATGGAGCCTTTAATGATTCAGCATTCCATCTGAGACAAACAAACATTTATGCACAATATGCAGCCTCGTCTTTTATGCATGAAATGCCTGGTACAGTTTTCTAAAATTGAGA